TAATGATGCCCAATCGCTTCAACTTAGTCCAGATGTTTGTTCCTTGAGATTCATCCTCCAAGACGTTTCTAAGATATTTGTCACGCGCATTGTTCAATTTGATTTTTAATTCTTTTCTTTTTATTTTAAAAAGAGTAAGTAAGTGTGAATTTCCAGTTCTGCGAGCTCGTTTATAAAGAGTATCACGAGTATGAAGATCGGTTTTTAGTTCATAAGTTATCCATGGGCTTGCTTTACGTTTAATGGTCCTATTCATTATTGGAGCAAAGAGATCTAATGTATCAATAACTGAATGTGAAAAGTAGGCAACAACTTCGTTTGGATCTGAAACTACACTACTTTGATTTGGCAAAATTAATTTAGTCATCAGCATTTCGGCTAAAGCTTGATGATCACAGTGTCTGAAATCTCGAAAACTAACAGATTTATTAGCAGTATCTACTGTCTTTAAATTATAATCACATTGGAGATAATCGTGACCTCCTATAAATGGTGATAATGATTTAGAAAAATTTCCCAGCTTCTCCTGACTATCAATGATAATCACATCTAACCATGAATCAGTTTCGGATGTGTGATATGTTGAACCAAAAGGCACATTGAAAAGTGTAGACTCCGTGATGAATGATTTAAGATGAGCTGATGCTCTGTCCGACTTCAATAGGTTGCAATTTAGGTCGCCCATGACAACAATATTTTTGAAGTGTGGATAAAATTTTTCAAATTCGACAAAGAAATTGTTTAAAAGATCACCTTGTGGCCTTCTATAAATCGAAGATAATTTTTAATAAAATAAAATAAATAAATATTAAAATAAATAAATAAATAAATAAATAAAATAAATAAAATAATTAAGTTTCATATACTATTTCTTTCAAATTCATCATGAAATTCATCTGGAATTCCAGCTGACTTTCATGATGAATTACGAAATATTATTTTGCGTATCGTGTTCTTCTACTCCAAAAAATTTATCCAGATAGAAGTTTAAGAATCGTAAATAATGAGTCAGCGTAAGTTAAACTAAAAATTCTAATATAACTGTCTCCAAATATTTTTACACTGATTAAAAAAATTAAGTTTTATGTGCGATTTGTTTCAAATTCATCATGAAGTTCGTCTGGAATTCCAGCTGACTTTCATGATGAAATTCATATTTGTTTCACAATCTGAAGTTCATCCGGAAATTCATCCGGAACCAAAATTTTTTTTGTACGGGTGGACATTGTAGATTCGACATCAATGGTAGCTGAAGTAGTTGTTTGAGGAGTAGCACCTTTTGGAGATAGAAATACTGAATCTTCACCCATTTCAATAATAGGAGGTGTCTTAGGTGATGAGTTTGCTGACTTGAAATCTGATAGTGAAGATCGTGAAGATCGACTGCGCAATGAGAGGGATGAAGGCTTCCTAGTGCTCGATGTTTTGACTAACTTGGGGTCTGGTAACACTGGGGCTGATTTAAAGATTTTTCACAGCAATTTCCTGGCTTTTTACTTTTCAAAGCTTCCCTCAGACAACTGTGGTGATACGAACTATTGCAAGTAGTACACGTTAGGTGTGTCTGAGCAGTTCTCTTGCACCTAGCACATTGCATAACAAGATCTATGAAAACAACAATATATCGGCAAGACCATAAATTCAAATTTGAAAGTAAATACTGATCTAGGTTTACTGGTAAATCAGAGATCTTTTCACAATAGCATCAGGCTCCACCTATCTGTAGCACACGATAACATCCAAAACAATGAGAGAGATAGAAACTACTGTCACGATCCACACGTTGCTATCTAAAGAAGAATGAGGTTAGGAAAACTGTATACTAATGGTAGCAATAGTATCGTGAATGGCACCCGAATAGATCGTGACGTTCGCTGTCCAGACTGCTACTCATAGCTGTACGGATTGTACCCATAACGGTACACTCGTTACTATACAGTAGATGGTGCCGAGCAGAAAACTTTGTTTTCAGTGTGGATTGTACCCGTAACGATACACTCGTTACCATACAGCAGATGGTGCCAAGCAGAAAACTTTTTTTTTCAGTGTACCGCTAAGACGAAAAAAATTGTCAAATATATGTTGCTTTTAATGTTATGAAAAAAAAATTAGTGAAATGGCTGATTCTTCAGGATTTTATTGCAATTTCCTTCTAATTTCAAATTAAAGCGTATCGAATTTCACCTATTACGACGTTTTTGAGCTCTTCGAACGGATCAACCAATTTTGATGCAGTTTGCAGCAACCGATGTCGTTTTTCAAGTTGAAGATCTGATTAGATTTTGGAAATGATTGTTACATCTATTTGAAATTAATTTTAACAAAACAAATTTTTTTAATATTATTTTTTAAAATTTCACAAAATCTACCGGTCCAAATAGCATTGAAAACTTAATTTTGGTAAAACTCTTTCGAACATCGCAAAGACACAAAGATCTTAACACTTAGAATTAAGAAACTAAGAGAAAATGAATTGAAGTAAGAAACCGAATTTTCAAAATAATTACTCTTGTTTCAAATTAGTTTTTGATCAGTGTACATTGTATTTTTTGATTTCGCAAAGTAATTATTAGTAAAATAATTACGTGAAAGAAATTAAATGTCAATTTTTACTATTTCAAATATTAAGATAGTACTCAGTGTACTTCATTGATGAAATACTTCGAGTACTTGAAAATTTTTTCTGTTTGAAAATAAAAATTTCCTACATGTCGAAGATCTAATTAGATAATCGTCTAACTCCACATTTTTTAGTTGATGCTTCTTTGAGTTGTTTATTAAGAAATATTCCATCGACATATATAATGTGGGTATAACTTAAAATAAAAATATTAAAATACATATAGGGATTTAAAATTGATTTTTCGTTTTCGATAAAAAAAAATTTTTTAACAAAAACAAATTTTCTATCATATCATTAACTTTAACATAAATTTTTCTATTTTATCAATTAATCAGTACACATTATCAATTGAATTTTAACTTCATAATCTTACTATCTTGAAAATGATATTCTTAAATAATATTTTATTGTCATTTTCAAAAGTTACAATATTTCTTCCTGTTACATTCATTTGATTAACTAGATATTCCATATGAGTTCAAAACATAAAATATACTATACTGTATGATTATATAGTTTTTATCGTGGATAAAATTGGTTACTCAATTAACGTAACTATCTGACACCGAAATAACGCGCAAGTGAAATGATGAGAAGAGACTTGGATGATGCGAATAGTGAGCGAATAAGCTCGAGGGAACAGAAAGCGCAGAACATAGAAGAGAACGTCCGAGGGGTGAATGAGAGAGCGGAGGCTGTTGCGGGTCGCGACAACGGAATGCAGTGTGCGGAGGCGAGCGGAGGTTTCGCGGGGGATGAAAAGAGATAGAGTATTCCGATTGGCCCATTGTGGTACAGCGAAGCGACAATGCCGGCAATTGGCCGTCGCTCGACAAAACCGCTAAATGATCCGCCAGGCGCAGTGGTGCCACGGCCACTTTATTTCAATCTATCTCCCCTGAAATATCCTGGTTATACTCGATTTCGAATCCGTAATAGCTGGCAAGCTGCTCTCACTATTTTTTTTCACATTAATGGACACGTTTCCCAGCCCTCCGCTCTTGTGCCGTTCAATTCAACCTCAAGCTTACACGATGATACGATAATGGGTGATCATCGTTCGATGACATTTTTCCACCAATCATTCCATTCATCACAACATCACTATTTTCTTTATATACGATGATTAAACTTTTTTTTTTTTATCTAATTTGCTTGTATCATTTTAAACCCAATGTTGTTGAAAATCCATAACTTCAAGTAGTTTATTATCAAATTATTTCGATGAACGTTTAATGTTTTTAATTTAATTAAAATTCAATATTTCAATAAATATAATTTGATAATTTAATGATAATTTGTATCAAGGACTCTTTATAATTATCTACTCTTAAGTGATTAATAATTTAACTAATATATGTTGCTATTTTTTGCCCTCGTGTCTTTTTCAAAAATATTAATATAATAATTTGATCGAAAAAAAATCTTGAACCAGAAAGATCATTTTTGAAAAATTTTTATGTCATGAATCAAGCAAAAGTCTTAGTTTCAGTTTCAAGCATTCTTTTGAGGACAAAAATTTTACATTATTATTCGTCCCTCATGACTACCAAATATTCGTACAGTTAAACATATTTTTATATGATTATTTAGTCATTAATTAGATGATAACAAGAAATAACGAAATAGCCAACATTTTTTTTTTAATTTTGTTATGTACACAGTCGAAAAAAGTTATCAAAAATGTTAGTTAAGACGTTATTGTTTGTTTTCATCCAATTGAATATAGAAAAGGTTGAAAAAAAAAACATTTGGATAAAATTTCTATTTTATCTTTTTTTGATAAATTGAAAAAAAAATACATAAAAAAACAAACAATTGAAAGAAAAAAAAAATTAATCAATTTGATAAAAAAAAAAATTTTTTTTCTCTTGCCAAACATAGAGCAAAATGAGGTTGATCCCACTTGTAAATAATTACGCTTTTTTGTTCGATTCTAGATAATCAAATTCTTTAAAATGATTTTAGTTCAAGATTTTTTTTCCTATCAATCAAGCTTTTTTTTTTCATCAGTATCAGTTTTGTCGTTAATGACCTAATTGTCAAGAAGCGACTTCAAATAAATAAAAATAAAATATTGGTACAAAATCAAGCTTTCTTATAAATAGCTGAAAAACAATTGTTTGAACTATTTTATCGTCTTTCAAATACTTGAGTAAAAATCAAAAGTTATTTTCGAAGAAAAATTTATAATAAACAATGATAAAACTATCGTGCGATAACTACTTGCCATATTTTATTTTCTTATTATTGGTACATCCCATACCACTAGAAAAATCAGTCGTGTTGTAACTGTTCACGCTTTTAGATATTTAGTTAGTTAAATGTATCAGTAGTGGTTGTGCGGTGCAGCAATCACAGTGGAATTATTAAAAATATGCCATCGATACAGTGCGATGGTGTTGCGGTTGCCGTAAATTTATACGTCATTATTGTAGTGGTAAAGTGGCTGTATTATATTCTTACTTAAATAAAAAAAATTTTTTTTCGTTTGAATTGTGTATACAGATGATTTTATTTTCTTGACTTTTTTTTTAATTTCTGAAAAAATTCTTGCACTTTTTTCCACGAGCATATTTCATATTATACCAGAGCAAAGAAATTTTCTTAGTATACATCGCATTTAAATTGCTAAAAGAATTCTTCTTCAATTAATTAGCCCATTATGTTTCTGTTGCAAAGATTTTTATTGATTGAATTTATGATCAAGTATAAAGAAAAGATAAATTGATACAACAATAGGAACGATTCTGTATGTAAAACTCAGTTGGGTGGTTGATAAAAAATCCAGGGTAACTCAAGCGGAAAGTGAAAGCATTTAGTGCTGCGTCGAGGGGGTTGTGTGGCAAGTACGAGAAAGCTGGGGGTCCACAAAACTTGGGGAAAGTCACTGGGTAGAAGGGGATCGCACAGCACAGTATAGTACTCTAACGTCCAGAGGAAATCAGGATAATTGTTAACAATTAGCTTAATCAGCCTGGAGAGCAAGCTTTTGTTAGTCAGTCGATATACGTACTCGTTTTTCGTCGAGGTTCTCATGCTCTTTTTTACCCTTTCTGTGGATTACATTTATTATTGTCAGGTATTATACGAGTTCATCCTTTTCTCTCTTTCAAATATCATATTGTACCTCTATCACGCTCTCTCTACAAATATGATCTAGGGGATGAATCTAATCCTCGATTTAATTGCTCGTATTATTGTCGATGGCAATAAAACAGACTTAATAGATTTTAATGAGTTGGTTAAATGCCAATTTGCTATTAAATCTTTATTAATTTATGATTAAAATTAATGTTCGCAGGTGTGGTTTCAAAATCGGCGAGCGAAATGGCGCAAAAAAGAAAAAACCATGGGACGTGACCCGAGTTATATGCATGTTGGTCAAGGTAATACAAGTTATATTATTTTTTTTTTATTTTATTTACTGTTTTGTAATACGGCTTTCCCGATCGAACTTTAAAATTTTTCAATCAATTCATATTTTTCTTTATATATTTCTCCATAAGTAGTTGTAAATTTAAAGAAATCTTCTTAAAGGCAATTAAATCTCTCAGAGATTAATACGTGACTAAGTGATGATTGTCTTGTGTAGGAATCAAACCCACTCACTTTGATTCTACGTCGGTTGCTAAGCCAACTTCATACTTCTACACAAATAGAACAACTAATTTGATTTAAGATAAAGAAATTTCAATTAAGATAATCAATTTCAATAATTGTTTTGAATCTAGCAAAAAACTTCTTTCATCGATGAAAATTAAATTGAAACAAGAAAAAATTATTCAGTTTAAAAAGTATTTTGCTTGATTCAATAAAATTAAATTCTTCAAAATAATTTTTTTGATTCTAGATTTTTGTCTTGAGCTAAATTAATTTTGTATTATTGATTTAACTTAGCATACAGCAGTGGTTTTTCTTTTTTCTTTATTGATACTGCCATTCTAATACGCCGTATCCCACAAAATTTGACAAATTGACTTTTTTTTTGAAAAATAGAACCTTAAGAATATCATGCAAGTCATATTAAAAATTTAGACGTCAAATAGTGCAATAAATACTTTAAAATAAATATTCTCATCTGTCGAATCTCATTTAATCAATGTTAAAAATGAACCGTTTCAACCGTCTGCTGTAAAATTTTCTAAATATGAGAAATAGTCAATAATTGGACTTTTATAAATCTAGTACATAAATAGTGTTAGGATAAGTGTGGGTATTACTGCGGATTCTTTTGTTTTCACTACAAATAAACGGTGCATGAGCTTCTGAAATTAAAGAAATCATCATCATCATCATCATCATCATCGGATGATAGCCTTTTTTTAGGGAGATGCAGTCATAATACGGAACAATCGTAGAAAGGGAATGATGCTTCACAATTCTAGAAAAGCGTGACTAAGAAGGCAACAAACATTTCGTCGATGAGAAATGATCGACAAAGAAATTTTAGCATCATGATAGCAAGAAATATTTCATTTCTTATATGATCTTGAAGTTTTTCGTTATTAAATTTTATTTGCAGTAATACACGTACATGGTCTTTTTTTAAAAAAGCTTATTATTTAAAGAAATTATTAGTTTATTGCATTGTTGACTTTTTTGAACTAAAAATAAGTTAAATTGGGTTTTTAAAACCAAAAATTATTATTTTGGAAAAATTTTATCAAAAAGCTTTTGAAGTAAGCTCTTTAGTGAAAAATTTTTACTACAGAAAAAATTGCGGTACTATCCACACATACCCTGTATTAATATTATTGATTTGTATGCATAAAAAAATTTATTTGAACCAAGAAATTATTCACTAAACCCTTTAAGTTGTTTTTGAGCAAGAAAAACTTTTTACAATTTTTTGCATACTTACATTTTATCAGATACATGCCTCTTACAAATTCATGTTATTATTATGACTTATGACTATTATTATCATCATTCCAGATCAATATTAATATATTTATCACGATGTCACAATTAGGCAATATTACGATCAACACTCAGTAACACACCTGCTTGACGAGCGATTATTGTCATCAGTAGGTGATTTACCTAAAGGGTGGTTATACACTCTATCATTGTATCTATTATCACGGCAAATATCGTTTTTACTGATCTTACATGGGTGTTAAATATTATTTTTTTGATCATTTACATTCATTTATAAGAAGAAAAAGTAAATTTATTGATTTTTGATGTCAGCGTTTTCATTTTTGACACCAACAATTTTGATAAAATAACTTTCAGAATACAAATGAAAATCACTGACATTTTTATCGTTTGTAAAAATAAAGATACTTTGATAAAGTTTACTATAAAAGTTGATATTGAATAGTATTCTATATTTTTCACGAATAAAAATAAATAACAATAAACCCACATACAATAGAATCTTCGAAAGCAGAGCGCCGAATCTAGCATTCTATTCTTTTCGGCTAAAATGAATATAAATATTAAATGCGGAGAAAAAAAAAATAAAAATAAAAAGATATCTTGTTTACCCCTTGATGTTAGTCGGTACTTACGTCTGTATTCATTCTATTGAGTAGCCGCATGAAGGGACGTTTTTTCCCTTATTTTTTAATCAAACCCCATCGATCGTGGTACAAATAATATAAAGGCAAGTTTAAGAGTCGATTTTCAAGAGTCAAGTCAAGTTGAACAAAACGAATTTGCTTAAATGTTTGGAAACCTTATTATATATACAGAATAATAAAATCCTCTGTTCTCTATTAAATCATCAATAATTTGTTTATCAGTTACTTTAATTTAATTTTCTGTTTCAGATATGAACGATTTGCCTCTTGCTCCACCATTGATGCACAATCCATCTACTCCAACTGCAGGATTTCCATGGTACATGCCATCTGTATTTTCACCTTGGATGTCACCGGCAAATACTTCGAAAATACCAGCACCTCTTCAAGCTGCACTACTGTCTCAATACATGGGATTGTCATCCTTAAATTCTCTTCTTCCTGTTGGTTTCAACTCAACCGGTGTACTAGGCCATTCACAGCTTCAGCACCAGCCCCAGCAGCAACCGCAACATCAACGTGATCAGCTGAATTCACAGCTTCAGCAAATTCATCCGCTGCTTTTGGATGTGCAGAACATTCCGCAAAATTTAAGTTCCAAACATGATCGCGATGATGATTCAACATCATCCGAGGATGAAATAAGAAGGCAGAGTGCTCAAGTACTCAGGGTTAAAGCCGAAGAAGTCATCAGAAAATCTGGCAACTAAAAATCAAGATACGGGATTTATTTTTGGCTAAAAATACTGGGAGTTAAAAAAATAAACAATTATGTGAGTGAAAAATATACCAAAGACAAAACAGCGTTGATTAAGGACATAGATGATGATGATGATGATGATTATCGTTATAATAATTGATGATAAAGTGAATTGTTAACTTATTTTATTTGAAAGTTAACAGAGTTATAGATTTTGTGATAAAACTTTATGTGTGAATAAACAACTGATAACAGTTACCATACTTCTGTTAGTGACGTTTATAGTATTGCAATCTGTTTTTAGTCAAACCCGATCGATCATGGTTCAAAGAGTATAAAGGCAAGTTTAAGAGTCAATTTTCAGGAGTTTAGTCAAGTTGAGCAAAATGAATTTGCTTAATCGTATAAAACCCTGTTCCTTATTGAATCATCGGTAGTTTTCTCATCAGTTCTTATAATATAATTTTCTTTGTTTCAGATATGACCGATTTGTCACTTGATCCTCCGGTGGTGCATAATCCATCTACTCCATCTACAGGATTTCCATGGTACATGCCATCTGTATTTTCACCTTGGATGTCACCGGCAAATACTTCGAAAATACCAGTACCTCTTCAAGCTGCACTACTGTCTCAATACATGGGATTGTCATCCTTAAATTCCCTTCTTCTTGTTGGTTTCAACTTAACCAGTGTACTAAGCCATTTACAGCTTCAGCCCCAGCCCCAGCAGCTACCGCAACATCAACGTGATCAGCTAAATTCAAAGCTTCAGCAAATTCATCCGCTGCTTTTGGATGTGCAGAACATTCCGCAAAATTTAAGTTCCAAACATGATCGTGATGATGATTCAACATCATCCGAGGATGAAATAAGAAGGCAGAGTGCTGAAGTATTCAGGGTTAAAGCCGAAGAAGTTATTAGAAAATCTGGAAACTAGAAATCAAGTTAAGAGATTTATTTTTGACTAAAAATTCTGGGAGTTCAACAAATAAACAATTATGTGAATTAAGAGTGTACCAAAGACAAAGTAGAGTTGATTAAGGATATAGATAACAATGATGATTATCATTATAATAATTGATGATAAAGTGAATTATTAATTCATTTCATTTGAAAGTTAACAGAGTTATAGATTTTGTGATAAAACTATATGTGTAAATAAACAATTGATAACAGTTACCGTACTACTGTTGGTAATGTTTATAGAGTGTTGCAATCTGTTTTATTGAAAACCACATTCTATCATTAATACGCTGATTTATTTGTTGATACCCCATCAACCATAATGTAGGATAATGTCACGTGATTATTTCACTTTCATTTGAATTCGTAAAAATAATAATTTTTTTTTTCTTTATATAACGAACATTTTTCGCTGAAATCAGAAACTGACGATAATAATAAATTAAAAATATATTCGTTAAAAATTTTTGTACTATAAAATGTATTATATTCATTATAAATAATATCACTCATGTAAATATGTAGGTAATAAATTATTATATAACGTTTAAAATGGAATGAACTGGAACATTAAAATATAAAATGAAAACATATTAAATAGATGATAATTATTATTTTATATTTGTTCACCTTTCATTGATCAAATAATTGTGATTAATCCAAGTAGTCGCTCTGAAAACACGAATTACATATACGATGATTTAATTATACACTCACGCAATTATAACGCATTCAATATTTAATATTGAGGTATAGCGTATCGTAATGATCATTTTATCAAATATTGTGTCAGACAATAAAATGTGTTTAAAAAAAAAAGTTCATCAAATCAATGATTTTATAAAATTAATTTAAATATAATATATTTTCGTAAAATTAAAAATTCATGTTATCACGTGACTTGCCGTTTTAGTGGTACCTGGGTAATTCGTTTTTTCAAATGTATATTTTATTTAATAGTATGCAAAGAGTTGAGTTGATAGTTTCATATGTGGCGTTTTCGTTTGAACGTGGCTTACGAATCGTGACACGCACAATAGCAATTACAATTTTACGAATTTATTTATATACTATCAATGCGATAACATCGGCTGATGTTTTGGTGATCATAAGTTGTTATTACGATTCCACTGGGGACGATGAGTCGTAGACAATTATCTTCACCACCTGTCTACCTACGATCAATTCATTTGATTTATGATAGCAACACAAAAACAAAAAGTAATGTAAAAATAAAAGAAAAATGTGATAAAAATGTATGATTAAATTATATGATTGGATTGATTTTTATAAAAATAATAAATAACCAACCATAATTTAAGGAAAAAATTTATTTAGTTGACAAAGTATAACTAATTATTTAGTTTGATTCCTTATTGAAAAAAAGAAAGAAAAAAAATTAGGAAAACGGTTGACCCTGAAGGCCATCCCTGCAACTTCCCGCTCATTTCGTACCTAAGCGCTTAAAATTGCATTTATGATGTTTTTGAGCTCTTCGAGCTCAAAAATACAGTTTATGTGTTATTTTGAACTCTCCAAGCTCAAAGAGATAGCTTTCCTACGTATGCGTTTGAGCTCTTCGAGCTCAAAAATCTTATCAAAGTACGATAAAACACGGTTTTTTTTAATTTTCAAACTGCTATAACTTTTGAGCTTTATAAATAATTTTGAACAAAAAAATTGATCTGATGAAAAATTTCGGAGTTATTACAAAAAAACACTTTTTTCGAATTTTTTCGACAACGATATCTCACGAACGCATCGACCGATTCTGACGCTTTTGGTGGCGATCGATGCGGGTTTCCAAGGTTAAGAGCTGAATAGTTTTTGAGGTCGATCGGTTCAGCCAATTCGGAGATATTTAAAAAAAATGAAAAAAAAACTTTTTTTTCACTTTTTTTGCAATTTCTCGAAATCTCCTGGTCCGAATCGGTTCCAACTTACAGGAAATCTAAGTTTGGCGAAGACCTTTCGAATGACACCAACTGCGATGAAATCGGTCAAGCCCTTCAGAAGTTATAAGAGGTTTACATACACACACACATACACACAACACACACACACACACACACACACACACACACACACACACACACACACACACACAGACGTACGGACATCATCGTAAAAAGAGTCAGGGAAGCTTCTTAGGGCTTCAAAACGTCGAGATCTGTTGAAACCTCGATTTTTGCAAAACGGGGTGAAAACAATAACTTCCCGATTTTTCGAAAATCTTCGATTTTCTTAGCGGGAAGTTAAAAATTAGTTAATTCATTATTATAATCTTTTCTGATAAAAAATAGTAATGTAAATGAACTAGTTCAATATTATTAAACTAAATTATTAAAAGAATGAAAATCGTAATATCTCCAAGTTGTTAACCACTGTTTGAAATCGCGGCGGCTACCAAGGACAATTAGATTAAAAGCAGCGCCTCTTGCGGCGGCTTGAGATCCATTAGCGCTTATTGTACCACCCTATTTGTACCCTGTCACCACCCCCGTTTAGTTTCAAGCGGTCCCTATCTCGAAGCTCAGGTCCTTATTCTCAATGGTAATATGCTCACTTCATACTTATGTTTCCTTTCTTTTTCTATCACTTATCTCTTGTCTTAGCTCATCTTTTTCTATAATATTCTTTACTTCTTCTTTCTCTTTTTTTATAATCTTATATTTTGTTCTCACTTGGTTCTATCCTTCATATTCAGCTAGGCCTGGTTTTTCCCTTACATCGTGGGATAAAAGTTGTGCGGAGGTGTCGGTTTTAAAAGAATTCATGTAAAATGATCTGATGCAACGTTGAAACGAGCCTTAATGACAACCTCTTTTAACATATCAGTGAATAAGACATCAATTAGTACATTATTCAGAATTTTATGCATAATTGGTTTCATTGTACCTTCATAATCTTTGCGTCATTATAGCAATACATAATTATAACTATCATAGTTTATTATTATCGAATCATAATAGACAGAAAAGACATGAATTTTTTACAAAAGAAAAATTAAATCTTCAAATTTTGTCACATCAGAAAAAACCAAAATAAAGACTTTGTCTAAATTTGAACCCTAAAAGTTGATATATTTAGAGATTTAAAATTAAAATTTTTCATTTTCTCTTTCAATACTATTTATTTATTTATTAAATTATGGCCCTAGAACAAGTGCTCCCGAAGGACCATCATAATTAAATACATTACTCAAAGAGTACAAACAAAATTAATGTAACATTGCAATAATAGAACATAAGCATAATAGAATAAATTAAGTAGATATAATATAATATAATAAGTAATAATAAATATAATAATAATCGTCATTGTCATTGACTCTTCACAGCATTGCTTTGGACAATTTAAAAAATCTCTATCAAAATGCCAGTTAAAATACGCTACTCTAAAATCATCAAACGTGCTCAGCGCAGCAAGATCAGACGGAAGACAAGAGGAAGAAATACATTTTCTTTAACTTTTCAATTTTTTTGTCTTAAAAGTGACGTACTGGGAAGCGCGCTATATGACATATTTTTCTAGGAAATTGAATTATCAAAAAAAAAAAAAAAAAAAAAAAAAAAGAAAGAATGGTTACAATTTTTGAATAAATTCTATAAATTCATACTTTCAAGAGTTACTCGTGGTTAATTCCAACAAAAGGAAACAAATTATGAAACCATATACGAATTTATTATTATGAATAGTAATTATTTACAAAATTATAAATTTTGAAGGTTAAGGCAAGTTTACAAACATTTAAACGTATAGTTTTTTATTTCAAAATCGATAAAATATTCTTATCAATAATAATACTTTTGCTGAAAATAAAAAATCTGACAAATTAGGATATGTCTAACTTTTAGTATACCCTATTTCTCACTTCAGCTAGTGTGAGAACTTTATAACCTTCGATTAAGTTAATAGAAAAATAATAACAAATGAATAAGCAAACATAAATCTAAAGACTTTGGGAATGTTATTATAAGTAATGGATGTGTATAATTGGCCCGGAGAAAAATGTTTGAGAACATTAGACGTTCGCACGTTGTTAAGCTGAGTGTACAGTTATGCTTAAAAATTAGTGTCATTATGATGGTCCAAACTCAGCTCGCCTTCATACGCCGAGTGTACACACTTCATTAAGACCATTAGGATGCATTTGGGCATTAAGGGGTCGCTTCACTTGCCCTAATAGCGCGGGCCCCGCGTGAGCTATAGATTATAGCACAGTTAGTATGCTACCAAGAATAGTGTCTTTTCTCAACCCCTTGTGTCGACTATATAATAATAATGTTCAGAGCGACGATATAGGCTTAGCTTTGGTAATAAATTCTATCCTGATGCTTTGGTAACTGATACATTTGTTGCACGATTAAGGGGATTCTAGACCGACCACTTTCAATGATCCACCCCTAGGCGATTTATACACTCCTATCTCTTTTGTGAGAGCCTCATTATCGACAATTAGTTACTCACAATAACTATAAGCTTAGGAAAAAAAATTTTGGAAAAACCAAAAGTTCACGACTTATAATTTTGCTCTTTTAATTTTTAATGGAAAAATTAATCTGTTGTTAATTTATCGAGTAAAATAGAAAATAGGAAATTGGTTAATGTCAATTATTTATGGAATTTTTGAAACTCGAAAGGAAAAATTACCGATGTACAGAGGATCGACCAAATTTATTTTTCTATTTATTGATTATAATCAAATAACACCGAGGTAGATAGCGATTTGAGATACTCAATCTTTTAAAAAAAAGAAAAAAGTTGACTTGACGGATTTATTATCAAGGTGTTGTGTTTCCAAATTACACAATTTTTTATATGGCTTGACGGGAAAAATTTGTTAGTTTATTTTGATGTCTTTTTCGATTCTATTAGATTGAATAAATTTATGAAAATTACAGAGCTAATCTTGATTAAATCAACTCTACAATACAATGATATTCAAAC